GTTTTCCGTTTTCAAAAACATGTTGATTCGTGATTTTTTGATTATCTTCTTTTGCTTCTTTAAGTTTATTTGACTTTGTTTAAGGATAAATAATCTTTTAAGTTGGGGAGAGTTTGATGAGTTCTAAATTGTTGTGAATTTGAGTGTGAATAATTAACACTCATCGGCTTAATTAGTTTGCTTTTTGTCAATAAACCTTAACTTTAGTGTATATTTGGTATAGCTTATGTTATAGTGTATTTATTGCGTTATTATGTAAATATCATTGAGTTTAATTGATTTCATCTCATTTTTGTAGGTATTCAAGCTTTGATATTTAGGCATTGTTAGAAAGAGCATTGAAAAAACTTTCCAACGCTTCGAACCGGGCGCGAATCGGAGTTACGGTTCAAAAGTTATGGCTGAAATAGTGCAGAATGTTGTGTTGATTTTTTCAACTTTCTGTCATATGTCGTCGTGCGACGCTTTTGGTCGTCGTGCAATGCTAGGAGGGTTGTAGCGTGGGAAAACGCTGTTTTGGTCGTTGGGTGACGCTTTTTGGTCGTCGAGCGATGCTGGACAGTCAGAAATGCCTATTTAGGTGTAAAAATACATTTTTTTGGTATGGTTTTGGGTATTTTTTATTCCAACTCCATCAACCTTTATTTTTGGATAGGATTAACTTAGAAAACAACATTGAAGCTTGCATACGGATGATCCGGAATGGATTTCTCATCAATCGTCGCTGACAAACCGGTAGATTTGTGGTTCATTTCTCTTCCTCTTTATGTATTCTTTATGTGTTGAGTTTGTACATATATTTACTCTGAACTTATGTATATTTGTCACCCATGGCGTTATATTAAACTTACTTTACAAATCTTTATTGATTATTATCTTAGACTTTTACTCTGTGCTAGTGATTTAAGTTGTTATGGATATATACTGCTTAGATTCTTATCTAGGATGATTATCTGTTAGTTTTTGAACTCTAGAGATAGATTTAGAGCTGACATCTACTTGAGTATCAGAGCTTATTGCCTCTGTGTGGGTTGTGCTATGCTGAGAGATTGTTAGTGCGAGTAACACGGTTGTCTTGTGTGTTGTTAAGTAGGTAGATATATTACTTATGAGATGATACATTTGGTCTCTCAATTTGGGTTAGAAATGACTTAGGTTGTGAGTGATACGTGGTGACATTGATGAGTATTGTTAGGTTGCGTATAACTGGTCGGTAGATTTAATTCTGTGATGAGTAGATTATTTGCAAGCTTGATAAGTTCTTCCTTAGTTTTTATTTTTGTTTATATTTATTTTTTGTTGATAACATTTTCTTTACAAACCAATTACCCTCAAACTCATTAACGAGAGATTTATCGAACGACAACTCAATAACTAATCTCTATGGATACAATAAATTCCCAGATAAATGTTTCCAAAACTTTTGTTGCTTTCCGCTACACCTCTACCAACAAAGGAACGTGTGTGGATCGTCGTTCAGTCATAGAAGGCAATATTGTAGGATACCTTAGCAATTTGTAAGGGTCTAAGATCATTTACCGAAGGCATTATTGAAGGGTCATCGAGGGACTACGATCTTGTAATCGAGGGTCATTGCTAAAGTATCCCACGTTCGAGGGACATGACTATTTTTCTCAAGGCAACAAGTGAGGTTAATCCTAGGGGTGCAAATGTGCAAAGAATTTTGATTTCATGCATTTGTTCTTGAATTAGGGTTTGCTACTTGTTGATTTTATGTCTTGCCATACACATCCTAATTACTAGCATTTATATTTAAAGTGATAAATTGCGGAAATGTAAAACTCTATGATATTACATCATTTAGGGAATGGGGGGTACAAATTATAAATAGGGATGAAAGCAATTAAAACCTAATTACTATTACAACCAAATTGAATAAAAAGTCTCAAAATCAAGATTCTTGGTGTTTAGGCTGACACGGGCTGTGTCCTGTGACACAGGCACCCGTGTCAGGACCCTATAATAATCCATGCATGTATTTTTTTGTCCCAGCTGAGCTGATACGGGCACCCGTGTCAGAACCTTATCCTTCCACTTTCCAAGTTTGTAATCCCAGTAAGATGGACACGGGTTGTGTCCTATGACACGGACACTCGTGTCAGAACCATGCCTTGTCATTTTGTCAAGTTTTAATCCCAGTAATATTGACACGGGCGTGTCCTGTGACACGGGCCTTGTCCTATGACACGGGCACCCATGTCAAGACCTTGTCTTTCCTTTTGTCAAGTTTTAATCCCAGTAAGATTGACACGGACCATGTCCCGTGACACGGAAACTCGTGTCAAGACCCTGCCTTACCTTTTGTCCTGTTTTCTCCCTGATACAGCCCGTGTCAGGTGACACGGCCGGCCGTGTCAGGCTTCCAGAATCATTTTTCTGTAGTTTTGAGTGTTCGCAACTCTTCTACTATGATTTGTCATATTTTATTCTTTTGAAAATGAAACTAAAATGATGTATGAATAAGGATATCACAGTTTGAGAAGACTTACCTTTTGAAGTGAAAATTCCAAATGTGTATGGATGTTTCCAGTTGCAATGTGATGATTGATTGAGCTTCCTTGGACCTCTCTGAAGTTGTTCCAATCGTTACTTTGTGCTAAAAGTGTTTAAATCTCTCCAACCAAGTCAACTTGCAAGACAATGTTTTTTAGTTTAGAAAGTGGAGATAATGATGTCACAGAAGTTGTTCTTGTGTTTGAACAACTTTTATATGATGTATGTGAAGTATTTGGATGATTTGTTTTGAGAAAACTTGCAAGGTATGAGATTCAAAGATTTGGACTTCAAAGCTCAAAAATGGAGGTTTTTGTGGATAATTCTGGTTTTTTGGAGTATAAAGGGTTTTGAGGATTTTTCAACACATAAGAATCTCCCCCCCTTTATCTTGCAAATGCTTCTTCTATTTATAGGTAAGAGGTTTGTGAACAAGAGTTGATTAGGTTTACAAATTATGGAGTTATAGTTAGGTTGGATTGTAAATATCAAGTTATATCAAATACTCCATAGTCCCAAGATGAAGTACCAAAGTTGTTGGTATAGAGGGGTTATTTTCCATGATTTATGGTGGAGTAAAATCAGAAGTAAACAAGGTATGGGCTCAAGACAAATTTTGTACCAACAAGCTTTCTTTTCAAGAATAGCAATGGTAACTTTTTACCTTAAATGGCGAGTTAATTGGATAATGGATTGTATCTCTTGGGTAATGGTCCAAGCTTTTGTGTAAACATTAAATTATGGAGAGATTTGCAAGCAAGAAGTCCTACAATATAATATTATGCAGCATAACATGTAGATTGGATCATGTGTTCTTCAACAAAAAGACTTGTAATTCAAGGATGGATGCCCAACTTCATGCCTTTGAATCTTCTAGCTCAAGTATGATAAATTCATGGTCTTAGATGTTTTAGAAATATTTAAATATCCTTTATAATTTTCATGTTGGCCATTTTGACAAAATCATCTTGGAACTATGTGAAAATATGCCAAGAAGTTGGGATAAAATCTTGACCATAATCTGTTGAAATTTCTCCAAGTGTTAGATGAAAATGTCATGACTTCATGGGCTTATATCTTCAAATATAAGTGTTTTTTGGACATCAACCCTCTAATAAAAAGTTGTAGAATTCATCAAGATCTACAACTTTCATGTTGAAAGTTTCCTTTGAATCATTTTGCATCATGGTGAAAAATTGATATGAAGTTATGAAATAAACATGTATAAAACACTTAGAAAAATTTCTAAGTCTTGAAAAGTTTGACTTTTCAAATTGACTTTTGATCTTCTTGACTTCTTGATGATCAAGCTTTATATTCTTGAATTTCTTAATGAATTTTGATCTTTGAAACTAAATGTTGACCAAAAAGTAAAAGTTTGACTTTTGGTGTATCAGTTGACTTTTCATCAGTTGACTGAATTTCACTTATCAATCAATTAATCTTGAGAAATATCTTGAGCTATGAAATTAGGTCAACATGTTGTATTTGAGCTTTTGAGATATTTAGAAGAAAGTATTGAATAAAAATGGGAGGGCAAATTTTGGGGTACAACAAAATACAACAATATAAAAGCAGTAAAAACACAAGGGATTGTTAATACAGTTCGGTGTACAACAACACCTACTCTGAGGGCTACCAAGCCAGGGATAAATCCACTAAATAGTATCAATTCATAGACCCTCGGTAAACATCCATTTTATGATCTGATCACTTAATACTTCTACCTAAGACACACCTAGGTATGAGGCCCTCCTCAAATCCCTTCAATCACTAACAGTGAAAAACAACAGAATTATTAAGTTTAAAAAAATTCAATCATTCAATACTTAAAAGCTTATGAATGATCCAAATTTACAACTCAAATATTGAAACAATACTAAAGTGTATTACAATTAAAAGATTCAAACATTTAAGCACCAAGAATATATTTTTCTTCAATTGTTGCTATCTTTTAAGGTTGCGAGTCCTTATAAAGGCGCGACAGCTTCTTTATGGGCTTGGGCTGAAAAACAAATATTGCAATATGTTGAATCCCTTGAATATCTCCATGAAAGTAGGCCAAGATATAATCCATAAAGATAAGACAGATCGAAAAATATTCCTCCATATTTTTCGCAAGTTATAAACCATAAAACATGAATAAGGCGCGCTTAAAAACAGAAAACAGAAAATTTGAAAAACACGTTCAGATCAGAAGGCAGATGTTTAGACATCTGCTTTGATGTGATTCAAAATCAGTTGAGATGATTTACTTTAACGCATTGTTTTACCAAAATTGTTGCCAACAAAAACTTATAATTGTTAAACAAAGCTTGTCTTTTGATATTGGTTAGGTCTGTTCTAAACTTCATCCCAAAATATTATATGTAAGTGGATTGGCTACCTCAACCAATTTATGATTTTATTGATATGATTGCTAGGAATATTTGTGGAAAGGTATTTCAAACTCTGGTGTACATCTCGTTGGCTGGAATAAAATCATTATGGCTAAAAAGATGGGTGATTTTGAGATCTGGAAAGCAAGAGATGTCAATACTTCTATTCTAGGTAAGTTGGTTTAGGGTCTCCAATGGGTTTGTGATTTCCTATTGGTCCCAGCTCTGAAGCAAAAGTACATTAGTGAGTAAATGTTCTTAATATGGAAAAGAATCAGGGATCGTGTACTTGGAATTCAAATATGAAATCTCTCTATGCTCTTAAAGATAGGTTTGAATTTATATTGGAGGACGGGAACTCCTCCTTTTGGTTTTCCAATTGGTCTAGGGTAGGAAAATTAGATGAACAGTTTCTCTATGTGGATATCCATGATCTGGAAATATGAGTGAATGGTGTTTACTTGGATGAGAATATGAACTTTAGTTTATTATATACTAATATTCCTTCGGGTATTTGGGATTGCCTGAAAGCGCTTCACATTTGTTTGATTTCTCTGGTGTCTTATCGTTTAGCCTGAAAAAGTAATTTAGATGATATTTATATTGCTCAGGAAGGTTATAATTGGCTCAACATACTTGAATTTGTTCATAATACAAAAGATAATATCTATTGGAAGTGGGTGTGGCATATTCCTGCTCTTGAGAAGGTGAAGTTCTTCCTTCGAACTACTTTGCATAAGTATTTTCCTACGAGATCAGTGTTGTATCATTGTGGTATGATTCAGATGAATCTCTACCCTAAATGCAATCATAATGCTGAGACGACTCTACCATACCTGAGAGACTGCGAATTTGCTACTCATTTTTTGAGTTATATTGGCTTTTTGGACACACTAATCTTCCAATGGAATAATTTATATGATTGTATTAGACATGACATCGATGATGGCTCTATATTTTTGACTACTTGTTGGTGGTTGTGACAGGCTAGGAACAAATTGTGTCTTGTGAATAAAGTGGTATATTTATATACTTTAAAACTCATCACAATTAATGAATTATGTTGATCTCTAAGTCAAATATTTTCTCAAGCATAATCCGTCTCATCTAAGAAGAAAGATCACATGGAATTCACACAAAATGATGACGGAAGCCTTGGTAATCTCGACATCTCGACTTTTGGTGGATTGGTTTGAAATATTGATGGTGCTTGGATTCACAGTTTTGCTAGTAATATTGATTACTCTAACATCTTTCATGCTGAGTTGATGGCACTATATCATGGTATACATATGGCATGGAAACTTGGCATCAAAGATCTAATGTGTTATTCTGACTCCTCTGCTATCAAGCTTATCTCAGAATTTATTAATGTTTGGCATTACTATATTGTGATTCTTTACAACATGAAAGAGTTTCTCTCTAAAAATAACAAGTTCAAATGTTTCATACTCTTATGGAGAAGAATGTTTGTGTTAATATCTAGTAAAATATTGGTCTGATAATGATGCAGTGTATCGATCTTTTGCAGAGCTTCTACTTGAATCATGACTCTCCTACCAAGTGATGCTAATGAAACAAATTATAATTGAATGGAAAAGAAAAGAAAAAACAAACATATTTGTCTTTGACAAAATATACATGAGATTTGTGTAAAAATTAGCCAATCCAATAGCTTCGTTCAAAATTCATAGTGTTATCTTATCCTTCATAAAATTCCCTATGAAAAAATCTTCTAAAATTATAACATCATTTATTTAATCATTTATTTTTCTTTGATTTTTCTATAATAATAAATCATATTTTTTATAAATAAATAAAAAATTCCAATCCCATCACACAAAGTGCGCAGTATGACTTGGTATGTAACAAAACTATTTTACATTTTTTTCGGAAAATTAATATTTGAGAACAATTGCTTCATCAAATGATAACAAAGTTCTTCATTTCTCCAACACCTTATTTTGGAATAGTTTTCTTTCTTTTTGTAAGAAAATGATGTTAAATTTCTTCAAACTATTGTGATTTTCTCATTTAATTTTATAATGTTGAATGCTATTTTGATTTTTTTCTAATTCCTATGAATGTTGATTTTGTTTGATCTATAGTTATCATGGATCCCTTCAAAGGTCAAGGTGGCATTCAAATGCTTCTAACCGCTGAACAAGAAGCTCAACACATTGTTAACACTGCAAGAAATTGTAAGATTCAATGTTTTCTATTCTTATACAAACAAACACGACACTGGTATATCGATCATAATAATTTAATAAATTAATCAAGTGTTGATGTTGTATTAGTGTCATGTATGATTTTTTACATATCTTTAAAAAAATATTTGTCACAATTAAAACGTACATCAAATAAGATATAATTCAAATTAAACTTGTGTAAAAAGAATTCAAAAAAACTTAAATATTTTTAAGTGATAGACATTTATTATATTACAAATTTGATAAAATTTTATTAGGTCAAATTCACGTTTTAAGATAATTGAGTTCATTTATGATCAGTGTATCGTCTATTATATTGATACTCGTTTTAATTTTCAAATATCTAATTTAAAATATGACGGTATATTGAAAATCTACAACTTAAAAATAAATAAATAGAATGTCTCAGATTTAAATTTATATATTTATGTTGTATGTATAAACGCTTTTAGTGAGGACTCAAAGGTTGAAGCAAGCAAAAGATGAGGCTGAGAAAGAGGCAGCTCAATATAGAACTCACATGGAAGAAGAATATCAAAAGTCAATTTCAGAGGTATGCACAAACATTTAATTAATATGTTACCAAAATTGTAAATATATCTTACAATATTATCTATAATGTTTTTTACAAATTGACTTTTAAAATATGCAAATAACAAGTTATAATTTTTTTTGTTAGACAACTGGGAATTCAGGAACAAATGTAAAAAGGCTTGATCAAGAGACAGATGCTAAGATTAAAACCTTAAAGAAATCAGGTTCAAAGGTTTCAAATGAAGTTGTTGATATGCTACTCAAGCATGTTACAAATATTAAAATGTAATTATTGCCTATAAGGTTAGTATGTTAATTCGTATCTCTTTTAAATTTTTAATAATTATCCATAAATGAAACCTTATATTTTTTTTGTTTTGATGAATAACTTTGAGGGTTAAAATTAATCATCTTAAAAACTGAGTTTATGACTTTCTCAGACACGACATTATTATGTATAAGTTTTTTTGAGCTTTTATTAAATATCAATTGTCTCAACTGTCAGAAGATTAAAAAAAAAGTAAATGTAAATGATATAAAGATATTGTATTCATAGAAACTCAACAATTGTTATACATAAATTTTTAGATTTTTTATAAACTATTAATTGTTTCAACTGTCATGCCCCGATTATCACGAGGCAAAAAAATGCAAATGATAAAAAAAAATAGGTTAGTTATCCTAATCATATTATATTCATAATTCTAGGAGACACCATATATTATACATAAATTTTTGAGTTTTTATAAAATAACAAGTGTATCGATTGTCGAGAGACAAAAGAAAATGCAAATGATATAAAGATGGGTTAATTATCCAATCTGTGTTAATAGTTATAGAAGCCACGACGTTGTTATATATGAGTTTTTAGACATTTTATAAAATACCAATTGTCTTAATTGTCAAGAGGAGGAAAAAAGTGCAAATGATATAAGATAGATTAATAATTAGAACACGTTTTTTTTAATATTTGATTTTTTTTTTAGTCTGTAAATAAAATAGTAGTGATCACTAGAAACTCAAATCATATAAGTACTATGTTCAAATTTTTTTATTGAGTAGTCACTTAGTAGAAAGTATCATGTTCAAATTTATTTTATTGAATAGTTTAATAATTGGAGTTTATCTGATTAAACATGAATAAGTGGTATGTTGTGAGTTTAAACTCGTACTCATACATCTGATATTTCTGCACATCTATTATATTCAAATTTTGATGATGATGATGATATTCAATCTAACAATATCAGCTTCTCTTCAATTGAGTTCGAATTTATTTGTTTTACCATTTTACTTGTAATATAAATGATTATAAGTGGATATTTGTTTGTGTAATTCGTGAGGTCAAACGAGAAGTTTTTTTTTTTTTTGAGATTTTTTTTTTTAGAACAATTCACATTTGTGAAAGATACGTCACATATTTACCTAAAATCTTAATTTGATAGGTGAGTGGATTCTCCCACTTATATATACTTAAGTCTCCATATATATAATTAATGTGAAACTTCTCCGCACTACTAGTACTTATAATTCTTTTTCAACTTTATGTAGTGTAATACAATAATTGATGACATATTTTAAATTAGCCTCTTGTTGATTGCTATATTTAATTGCATTTTTCTTGACATTTAATTGCATATTTATCTTTTATGTTTTCTTATGATTCAGAAATTGATGAAGACACAACATAAGAAACATCACCTACAATAAAACTAAGAAGATTCATCTCAAGATTATTTGCTATTTCACTTTAGGTTGCAATTGCATATACTTCGTTACAAATTCTTGCCTCCAACATCTATCACTTGTCACATAGAAGGGAAAGAAAGAAAGAAAAAAAAAGCAAAGTGATTCTCTCATATTACTATATATACTTAGTAGTAATATTTTTAATTTATTATGTAATGAATAATGTCTCAAGAAATATGATTTATTTACTAAAATTGCTATGAAATAATTTTGATGTGAATGCTAAGAAAATTCTCGAGCACTTTTAGTGTAACCCTAACTTTAAGTAACTATTTGTGTAATGTTAGAAACTTAGATTTTCTACTATATAAATTGTATACATTGATGTAACTAAAATGTTATTCAATGTTCGGATGACTCACATCGTAATTTATTAAGAATTAAAATTTTGATATTCAAATCTTGCGAATCATCGAGATCATTTACCTCTACGCCTAATTTCTTCTAGAAATTCATTTTTATTTGACCAAAAAATATTTAACTATTTGGCTTGCATAGTCGCACTCATATTTAACCGATAAACATCTATATGACATATGTTTTAGATCGGTTCATAACCTTATGATTTATATTGATATAGAAATTAAGATTAGAACTCTAAATTAATCACTCATATGAATCAAATATGTCATCGACTTACATTCTTTAAATCTATATCAAGATGCAATTAGAGAATAAAAGTGAAAGCGTACTTGAGTTTGTCATTGAAATCGTTGAATATTTGTGGACATGTGATCTTTTGATTTGTAGAGATTTTTAAGGTTCCTTGAATCTCTTTTGATGTGGATGAAGAGAGAATCCTAAAAAATCGTGTATTCATATCGCTCACAATCCATATAAATAATTGTGTGATTATTTTTTAGTTTTTAATATTCTAATTTGTCCCTCATCAAATTAGATGTTGACTTAAAGTATCTATACAATAATCTTACCTTTCATGATATCTATGTTTTTAGCCATAGACTTAATACTGATTAGACCATTATAGTTTTGCCTAATTAAATAATGGTCCTAACACATGTAATATTACATTTGTGACCAAAAAATTATAAGAATCTCCCACTTGTCACATATGTAAGTTTACATAAGTGTTAGACTTTATGAACTCAAAATTTGTTATTATATTCTTTAAGCATATCTAAATTATATCGTCCATTAATCATGTCAGTATACAGAATCAAAGTGATTTTCGTCATATCAATCATAACTAAATTCATCAATGATCACTAGTAGTAACATAACTAAATGACATAGATTCATCATGAAATGTATAGCATGAAAATCGCATGAAATTGATGTACATATCAACTTTCAATGGGTCCTACTTTACTTTAGTGAGATCATTTAATAATTGTATTGTACAAAATGTAAATAGTTGAATATCAAACTTTATTAATTGGAAAATATCCAAAATCATAGTATGAATACATAAAGACCAAACATAGATTTCAAAATGGAATTCCTCAATGGCAGCGTTGATGAAATGATCTATATGGTGCAACCAGAAAATTGTCGGGAGACTCAGAATATGGTTTACAAATTGACAAAATCCATTTACGGACTAAAGCATGTGTCTCACCAGTGGTACCACAAGTTTCATGAAGTAATTCTCTCATTTGAATTTGAGGTAACTGTTATTGAAGATTGTGTGTATCACAAATTCAGTGGGCGCAAGTACATACTCTTGATCATGTATGTTGATGACATACTGCTTGTCGTCAATAATATAAGCATGATGCACGAAACTAAGAAATTCCTATCAAGAAAATTTAAAATAAATGATCTTGGTGACGCCTCCTTTGTATTAGGGATTCAAATACACCGAGACTGATATCGAGGTATTCACAAAGGAGTTATATTATAGGGAGTTTGATGTATGCTCAAGTCTGTATGCGTCTGGATATTGTGTTCATAGTTGGAGTGTTAGGCATATATTTGAGAAATCCAAGAATGGACCATTGGAAAGTAGTAAAAAAGGTTATGAGGTATTTAGAGAGAACAAAAGATTATATGCTCATTTAAAGAAGACCAGGCCAGTTAGATATCAGTGGATACTCTAATTCGTATTTTGCTCTGATACCACTTGTTGAATTTGTTCAAAACCTTATGGTTTCTATCGATATAGAAATCAAGATCATAACTCTAAACTAATTTCTATTAATCAAATATGTCATTGAATCACATCCCTTAAATTCATACCAGAATTTAATCATGGAATGAAAGCAGGAGCGTATTTGAGTTTGTCATTGAAATCATTGAAGGTTTGCGGATATGTGATCTTTTGATTTGTAGAATTTCTTAGTGTTCCTTGAATCTCTTCTAATGTGGATGAAGAGAGAATCATAATAAATCGTGTATTTCGATCACTCTACAAATGAGGATCATAACCCATATAAATACGGTATGGTTATTTCTTAGTTTTCAATATTGTAATTTGGTCTCCCATCAAATTAGATATTGACTTATAGATTTAAACAATAATCTTATCTTTCATGATATTTATATTTTTAGCCACAGACTTAATATTAATTAAGTCATTATAATTTTGACTAATTAAATAATAGTCTTAACACATTAATATTATATTTGTGACACAAAAGTTCTAATAATATTACCAAAAAATTTATATATAAACTAAACATAAATTTACACGTTAGAAAAATCCTTATATTTAAAAACTAAAAAGAAATTATTATTGAAAATTAAAATAAGAGAATAATTTAAGGAGATTAAACCAAAATTCATTTAAAAACTAAAAATAAATTATTATTGAAAATTAAAATAAGAGAAAATTTTGAGGAGATTAAACCAAAATTCATAGAAAAGACGCATCCATTTATCTCATTAAAGATCTTATCAGAAAAATTTGATGGAATAAAACATGAGTATATCAAAATGAGTTTTTCTACTCAACCTATACATTCTAAAATGGTATTAGATTGTTATCTACTAAATCCTGCTCAGTCTAAAGATGTGTCATCTACTAGTGTTGAATCTTCACCTTCTTTGGCTCTCACTCACTATTCAAATCAAGTTTTTCATCAGTATCATGGTCATTACAAAGGCTCTTGTGGTGGTTGTGTTGGTAGAGGTAGAGGCATGTTTAATGGCTCCTTAGTCTAGTGTCATGTTTGTTTCAAATTTGGTCACACAGCTTTGTCTTGCTGGTGTAGGTTTAATCAGAATTATACTTCTCATTCCTCCACTTGAAATCCTTACTCTCATGGATCCTGGCCTCCATCTCCAAATGTTGGTTATGCCTCATTTCCTCCAAATGTATGGACAAGACCACCTTCCTCTCCAAGGCTTGTATCAAGTTTCCTTGAGGCACCTAGTGCTTTCATTACTAACTCTAATCCAACTCCCTCTGCATCTTGGTTTCCATACTCATGGGGCTTCATTTCATGTCATTAATGATGTCAAAAACATTCCATAGATAACTATTAGAGGGTAATTTAGTATTTTCCATTTGTTGGATATTCTCTTTAGACACTATGTGGCATCCTTATCTTTATTACTTTTGTGTATAAATAGGTGTAC